TTGTAAAAATAAATTAACACTAGGGACTAATACACGGGGGGAAAAATAGAATTCTCCCAGTTGTAAGTTCCCCTCATAAGGCATCCGCCACTAATTATCACACATGTATTTTAAAAATATTCACGGAAAACACCAGTCTTCCGGAAAATCAACCTTATTGGTGGGACAACCGCTTTTTTTAAATGAAATTTTTCTTAATTTTATTTGTCACACTATGTGTCGCATGCGAATGTTGAAAATGTTGGGAGTATGAAACTGGAAATCCAATGCGAAAATAGGAGAGAATGCAGACTTATCCTTGAGCACGCCAAGACCCACCAAGAGGGTTCTTCAGAAGACTGTTGTTTATTATATATATAATATATATATATATATATATATATATATATATATATATATATATATATATATATATATATATGTTTATCAATTAAGAAGACAAAATCTATTTTTATAGGTTATGTATTTATTTTATTAAATGTGTATATTTCTGATATCAACACAATAAATACCTACATATACAAACACACACTCAATAATAGATCATCAGATTCGTGAAAGAAAGGATTTTCAATGGAGGATTGGTGTTTTTCTTGAACATTCCCTAAGTGCATGTACTCATGACCATTGACGCTAAGGTATTCTTTGATTATTAATTTACACAAACATTGATAGACATCATTTTAGCTCTTTTAAGTTTGTATTACTGGGCCTGATGATTGGTTAAATATTGTGAAACACAAAGCAGGTAGCCCAAAAAACAATAAAAAATTCATTTGGATTGTGAGTACTTGTTTTTGCCAATATATAGATTAAATTAGGTATAAGGTACAATGGGGAGACCACAAAATAAAACTGTAAAAAAGAACTAGATTGACACAACTCTACCGAAATTAATACAAAACAAGTAAGAGAAAGTAGTCAAGATCATAATTCAATGAACGTAAGTAATGAAAATATTGCATTGTTGCATATATAAACTGTGGGGGATAACTGGTGATGAGCAGATTGGTTTCCAAAACGATATGGGTACTCGGGAAGCTTTTTTTGCATGTGAATACTCTTACAAAAGAGCCTTGAGGAAATATAAACAAACTCAGTGTTAGCAAAAAGTGAAAAAGGCAATAAGAAGTAGAAAAATTTGATCACATATGTTTCATTTTATTTTTCTAAGTTATCTATAGTAGATATAATATAATGAGAAATTGCATAATCTTTTAAAATTGATGAAACGGAAACATAAGACATAACAGCAGTAAAATTACTACAAGAACTATCATTACAAAATGATGTAGAAACTACACCAACAATATCAAAACAAAAAGACTACTGGAAACAACAGATCAGCTGAAAAGACACTCTTGTCCAGTGCTCTATTGGCACTATTCTCGTTTGTTCAAAGAAATCATTAACTGGGCATTAAAAAGACAAGACTAGAATCAATGTATTAACAGAATGAAAGAAAGAAGAATGGTGAGAATCACAAAAGACTCGCATTAGTGAGACTCTGAAGCATTGATCGTCTCCAACACGAATCAGCAGGTGTATGAAGATAAAATAGATAATTTGCATAAAATAAAAAAAGGAGTGTTTTCAAAACAAGGAATGAAAACCGATGATGCGGGATTGTAAACCGGAACTTATAAACTTGAAAATAATACCTCACAGAAAATAACATACTTAATAGGAAAGAACACATATTCAACAATAATTCGTATCCAAATATCTCGATTGTTAGATATTTCGTGTTATATTCATAGCTACAAAGATATTGTTGTATAATTGTGATTGTGTCCCTCTAATGATGGACTATCGTCCAAAATTTCAAAAAATATCTTACTCTCATTATATCTACTACTCGAAAGCTTCCATTTTCGACAAACAGATAAAAAAAAGTAAATGATGAAATATTATCGAAAAAAACAATTCATGAGTGACAAACGGCTCCCTTTATCACCTATGTAATTAAAGAGATACCACAAAAAAAGCCCATTTAAAACTATTTTTAAGACACATTGCCCCTAATTAAAGAACTCTTTGCAGAGTATGCGTAAAGTAAACAAGGACTCCTTTTTCTTTGAGATGTCCAACATATCAAAGAATTGTCCATCTTCTAAGTCAACACTACTTAAAACTTTTGAAGTCTTTAAAATAATATTGATATAAGGTTGAATGCTTGAAAAAATGAACTTTGATAAAATGAAAGGCAGATATCGAGCACAATTGTATTAATTAAATCTTGCCCAAGTACTTTAGCTTTCTAAAGCATCATGAGGGGCATTTCGTTAGTTTTGGGCTATCCAACAAGCGATATAATACAATAATTTATTGCATAAATGTTCCGGTTTTTGTGCCTTTCTGCCCTTTAATAGGTATCAACAAATGAGCTTCGCCGAGCTATAAGACTCTAAACATAAAATCACTAAGGGAGAGTTCCCAGTGGTTAGTTGGCTATATACCATAATATAAAATAATACCTTTTTAGTCCTATCACATCATCAGCAACGAGTCGTGATTACACCGTGCGTGCAGTAAATTAAATTAAAAAGTAGTGACATCATATCAATGGTTAAAGAATTAACTATAGGGAACCTTTGATCTTTCACACGAATGTGGTGAGACTAAATGTGTGGTTAGTAGAACAATAGGAAGCCAAGATCCAAACTGTATCATCCATGAGCCTACGTGATTCACCCGTGAGTTTATTATCAAAACCTTAAATGCACATTGAATTTTGTAATATTACGTCTAAAAATTTCTCTAGCTAACGTGTACTGAATAGATACCTATTAAACTTTCTTATAATGCCGGCATATTTTAATTGTTTAAAAAATCGTTGCTACTGAAACTCAAATTTTCATCAGATATAATTGATAATGTAGTTCTTAAAAATGAGTGTCTCACACCAATAATACAAAACACATAAAGTAACTTCCAATTGTATAATAGCGTGCGGTTTCAAAGGGTTGTACAAATCTCCAAGATATTTACGATATGAGAAAACAAAACACGACTTCTACTAGAATTTTCAATCATATCGTGAATCTCTTTAACATTTCCCGTAGTCTTTTTACCTGTCAAACGATTTAGGCTGCCTTTATACAAAATATGTTATTTGATAAGTATACAATGCTTTGTCACATGCCATATTCTAAAACGTAACACTCAGTACTCTATCAAAAAAGATAAGTGCGAATAAGTAGTTTTAATATTTTTTCGCGGTTTTCTTGTTTTGTGGGCTGAGCTGATGTACTCTTTGTACAAGAACTTAAGGATGTTGACACTCATTGAGGAATTTCGAAAAACTGATTTGATCGTAGAATTTTATTGTTAATTATAAAGTTTGTAGAGGCGCACATGGGCATAATTTTTCTCGATTTGCCGGTTTACTTTAGAACAACTTTAAGGCCGACAACTGTAGACTCGAACGTACAAATGTGTAAATATTGGAAGGTACCAACTGTAGCGTAAATAAATTTAGTATTGAACGAATTTAGCACTCACCTGGCAGAGCGAAAAAAGTTTAAAGGCGATTTTAAGGTGAAAATATTAGTTAGGATTCCGATAAAGGAGTAAATTCAGATACCAATTAGATAAATTAAGAAACTGACTGGTAATAGAGTGACCAGACTTATTGATACAAAGCTAAAACTTGTTTCATCAGTACATCTAATAGATTTATACACAGTTATACTATTGTTAAATATATTGTGGCGAATGTGTCTACTAGATGTGGCTATTAAATAATGAAGCTGCTGCTGTAAAAAAATATTTTTAACGTGAAAGGACGACCCAGGACTGAATCATCAAAGTCTTCCTGGCTATCTTTTAAACACTTAAAAAACATTCATCGCAATATACCTGCTTTAACAAGAATTCTTTGTTCTGTCACATTTTACCATTCTTTCGCAGAAACAGGAAAACAACTCGAATGAAAAAGAACACTACCGCTATAAATTTATGGTTTAAAGATAAACTACACCACAGAATATACAGAACTAACGGTATGCTCATGCGCATATAGCCGTTAACGCGTGACGTGAGATGAAAACTTTAATTCTGATGTGTTAATTCTGAATATATGAAAAATTTAGTTTTAATTGTTTTTATAATATGCTCTTAACAAGTTGCATGCTAATCACGCCTATGAGCGTCAAGATATCGCTTCAGTCATATGCTGATAACGCACATGTGAGTTTTTAAGATACCTATGTTTTGCATTGTCTAGTATAAATACCCTTGTGTATATAAGTTTACTTTTTAGAAGAGTGTGTAGAGGAAATTATCTGTTAACCTACTTATTAAGCAGTTCTCAAAAACATTTTCTACCTTTCCTTCTACTACCAATAGTTCCATAGTTCCCATTCTTTTTTTTTTTTTTGAACCTATTCTCTATCCTTCCATTGTTGGATATAGGTCTCTACCAGTTCTCCCCATCTTTCCCTATCTTGAGCTGTTCTCTGCCATGTGGGACCTCCTTGTTTCCTGATGTCATCTTTCCACCTCATCTGTGGTCTGCCTCTTGATCTCTTTGCATTGTATGGACGCCACTTTCCGATGGCATTGTTCCATCGTCCGTCTTGGAGACGTTCATTGTGTCCAGCCCATTTCCATTTCAGTTTTGCTGCTTGTTCTATCGCGTCTACTGTCTTTGTTCTGGTTCTGATCCACTGGTTACGTTTTCTATCTCTAAGTGATACACCCAACATTTGTCTCTCCATCGCTCTTTGTGCCTTCCTTATCCTATCCAAATTGGCCTGTGTAAATGTCCATGTCTGTTCCGTAGGTGAGCACCGGTATTAGGCAGGATTTATATACCTTGCTTCGTAAGTATAGAGGGATTGTTTGATTTTTTAGAACGTAAGAAAGTTTGCCGAACGCTGCCCATCCCATTCTTACTCGTCTCGATATTTCGGCTGTTTGATTTTCTCTGTTAGCTCTGATTGCTTGTCCTAGATAGATATACTCATTTACCTGTTCTATTTTTTCTGTTTTTATTTTTATTGCCTCTTGGTCTTCCGTGTTTGTCATTACTTTTGTTTTGTTGAAGTTAATTTTTAGGCCTTTTTGCAGTGATTTTTCATGAACTTCATTTAGCATTAATTCCAGTTATTGTCGTTCCGAGGAGATCTTATGGCTAAAGTAATTTAGGTATTCTCGGTTTACTTTTTTTATTAGCCTGTCGTTTATATGAAGCTGTTCCAGAAGTGACAGGTTGGTCCTGCCAGACCGGCCACGGCATTTTTATATACATAATGAGAAATACATAGACAGATCTATGTCCTTATTATTTCTTTTTATCCTTTTAGAATGTTTCCATTACCTTCTTCAATTTCACTTGTGTTTCTGTAATTTCTTCTCGGGTTGTATTAAATCAAATTATTTTCGATTTGCTTCGTAATTTGATGTTAAAAACAATATTGTTTCTGGTAAAATTATTCAAAGAAAAGCAGTATGAATTTCAATGAACTAAGCATTGATATGAAGGCTTCTAGTTCTTCTAGGCTTGAGAAATCTTAAAAGCGACAAAATAGTTGCTTCAAATTTATATATGACGAAACAGCTGCGGAAAATTACTTAGTGGTTTCTGATTGAAAGGAAAAGCGCTCAATTTAGTGTCAGTTAGCGAAGGTAGTATTATGCTGTTAGCTCCTCTCATTTTTGTTTTGAAACAAAGTTTGCTCTTTTTGCCTATTACCGAAGAGAGTTGACTTCTTAGGGCTTTTGGTTTGTATACTGCTTGCTTTACATGCTCTGTTAAAGTAAGCTTTCTATCTAGTATCACTCGGAGGTATTTTGCCTTGTTTGTCCATTCTTCAAGTGTATTGGCAATGATCATCTCCCTGTCTGATCTACTTCTTCGGTGTCTATACATGACGGCTTGTGTATTTTCGGGGTTCAGGGCGATTTTCCACTTAATGCACCATCTTTGGAACCTATTCAGAGCATTTTGTAGGTGGCTGGCAGCTAGGTTAGGATCTCTACTGCTAGCTGCCATGGCTGTGATCATAATCGTACTTTACTTGTAGCAGCGTCAGTCCCGTTATTTAATAGCCCCACGCCTATTACGGTATTGTAATCGGAAAGAACTCTGTTTGAAATTTGCTTTGATAAACATCGGAATTGTTTCTTTGTTCCAAAAACTCTTTAATATTCGTCTTATAGGATATCTAAATATGATTTTTAATTCTTTTTATTACACCGTTGAGTTTATTTTTCTTTCGCTTTTTGTATTTTCTTTCCTTGGCTTTATCTACTTTAGTTTTTAACCAATCTGCTTTTAAATTCGATTAATCTTTGTCTTGTGTATGAGTTCACTTAAATACGTAGTAAAACAGTTTCTTGATATACGCTATACACTATATTATATTTATCATTCTTTCTTTGAACATGCAATAAATATTTTAAATAATGATTATTTGGGTTAGTTTCTGATTAGTTTTCTAATTGGTGGAATATTTTAATTTCACTTGAAATCGTCTTTAAGTTTAACTAGGAGTCATAAGATAGCAGGGTAGGAATGTAGAGCAAAACATGTTTTTAGAGAAAATCTACACAATCATCTAGGAGAGAAATAACTATTTTTACGAAGAAAACCTTATTGATAATCAAATTGATTCAAATTTGTTTTTTACCTTAGCGAGTTCAACAACCTGTGCGTAGGTAGTAATTTTTACTGCTTCCAAATACGAGCTTAAAAATTAAAAGAATTTTGTTATATTGATTTTTCCGTGCCGATACTTTTTGTTGATATAGATTTCAAGTATTGAAAATTTTTATTAAGGTCCCTAATATAAATACCTTAAAATATTGTATATGTTTATTTATGGATCAATCGAATAAATTATTTAAAAAGTATGTTCTCTTTTTTTATTGTTTCTTCCTCTACCTCATTTTAATTGGCTAAGAAAAAGCTTTTTGTAGTGAAAAGGATCAGATAGCTGTTTCAATGGTATAAGCGAAATATCTGTAAAACTATATTATTACCTTCCTACGTTGGGTAGACAAAAAATAAATATAAATTTCGAAGGACCAGCGACCAATTAATCGCAAAATTGTAGATAATTAATATTGTAGTGAATTTCTAATAGGATAATTAACATGTGACTTCCAGTCGAAATATTTTTATTTTATGAGGCATATTTGGATAATTGGAAAGCAGTAATTGCCAACAAATCACCTTTTTAAATGTTAATAAAGTACAGAAATGTATATTAAATGTTCTTAAAACTATACTAATGAGCTAAGTAGAACAATACAGTTGAGTTGTATAGATGGCAATCCTGTAATTTATTGGACCGGTATTTACGATTAATGCGCACAAAGAACTGTTGATTTGATGTAGGCTTGAATAGTAAGGAAATTAAGATACGAAAAATATCAGCTGGATGGTGGATATCATCAATTTAAATACCCATAGTTTCGCATTTTCTTTTGCAGATATCCAAATTCCCCTCAAAATATATCTTAAAGATCTTAGGTATGATGCAGTAGCCTTAGCGAAGTCCTTTGGTCACTTTGATCTTTTTTGACTTTTTTTCAATCTTTATTGAACTCGTCATTTCCCTCACATCATTACTTATCTTAGCTTGGCTAATGAGGCATATTATACGCCTTTTAAATATCAATAAATAAAATGTGTATCTGCATATTATGTTTCAAACATTTTTCCATTTGTTTTTTACAAAACTTTTTACTTAACTTATCTATACAGGAACAACCGTACTAAGGGAATCGGAGAAATAGCACAAAGGCAAACTGCAGGCTCAGGACGGAAAACAACAACAGTTTTGGCATGTGCTAATGCAAACGGATCCATATTGCCACCTATGATCCTCCACAAGGGCAAAACGTTATGGTACAATGTTTGGTGCAGATGAGTATTCAGAGACATCTTACTACGTATCCGAAAATGGTTGGATGACTGAAAAAGTATTTTTCTATGGTTCAAAAATGTTTTTTTGAAAAATTTCGTTGAAAGGCCTGCTCTTTTGATTTACGATGGCCATTTATTTTACCCGAACTGATTGCGTTATCCATGGCACAATATGTGACTATTCTTAAATTACCGCCACACACTTCGGCAATATTTCAGCCTTTGGGTGTGTCTGTCTTCAAGGGGCTCAAGTCTTCATAGGATGCGTTGTTAACAGATTGTCAGCGCAAAAATTTAAGAAAACTGCTGACAAAATAAGAATTTTTGAACCTTTTGGGTAAAGCTTGGCGCAGTATTCGAGAAACTGTTGTGGTGAATGGCTTTAGAAAAACAGGTATTTTTCCTCTGAATCGAGATTTCATTAACAAAGAAATTTTGTATTAAATGATCAACAGACCAAAATGATTTAAGTGTATGTTTGAGATAGATGACTTATATTTCATTATCAATAACTTTGAAATCCTACAAGTACCTGACAAAATGTTAAATCCTCAGAAAACAAAATTCGATTTATGTATAATGTATTATACGGGCAAAATAGGTTGATAATTTACATTGATGCTTAAACTATAAAGAATGTTTATAATCATTGCATAATATTGAATCGATAAATCCATAGCTTGCAGTATATAGGTAGGTAGGTAAGTTCCTAAAATTATATCTGATACTGGTGGTTCCCCTAAAATAGGCCCTTTTCTAGTACACTAATTTTTAAATATGTACTTATATATTAATTAATATATAACAATATAACATATTTAAAATAGTTTTGTATAATTATATATCATTTAAAAACTCCCAATTCCTTCAAAATTCAACTGTAGCGAAATCTCACGATTTCTTACGATTTATATCTTCCGATCTCACATTTCTCTTCTACTTCATGTGGCATCACTGACTGAAAGTTGCGCAGTAATTTTTATGTAGCCCTCACGTTTACACAACGTACGATGCTCTGTCATACCTGCACGATATTGAACTGCACACGCAAAACGTAGTGTGTACGTGTAGACGAGCCATTACACTTAACGGAAAATCCATAGTGCAATGCTTCATTACCTCGACTTTTATATGTATTTGCATACTTTTAAGTAGGAGGACTAATGTCATCATAATGAAATGTAAATAGATATAAATGTTAATGAGAAAATGACAATGAGAATTGAAATATTTATATTGTCCTGACAACTATCTCTAGTAATTGAATTTTTAAATTCTATTTTTTATTACGCATATTTTGTTGAACATCAGTTAAAATATTTTTCTAATGTTTCAACTGTTTGTATATCCTTGACCTTTCATATTCACATAATTAGTAACTATAAACAAGTTTTGTTTGATTTTAAAATATAGAAAGAATCATTTATGAATTAAAAACTAAAGGAAAACTTGTACTGTTCAATAAAAACAAGGTCATTAATAAAATTTAATTACTGCTTGTGAGTACCTACCTAATTATAAAAATGTACAATATGTCTCAAATAAAGCGATAAAACAATGTTAAGGTGTGGATATGGAAAATAAATAGTCGTACTTTACTACTATTATAAAAGGCTTTATTTCCTATAACATACATACTAATTAACTAACCTAACTTAAGCCACCATACTTCTTACTACTACCTACAACTACATGATACTCATTGACATTACTATTATTGTCTGTCATGTCAACCCATGACACTATGGGTGCGTTCCGCTTACTCTTACACCAATATATCTGTGTATACAATATAAATGTATTACATTCTCAACACGCCTCCTTACATTTACATTGTATTTACATTAATTCAAATTTAACATACTTCGAAATTTTTCAAATTTATCTTGGCCCAAGGACTTCGTAAAAATATCTGCAATATTATCATCAGAATCTACTTTAACCACATTTATAACATTTGCTTTAACATAATCATTTACATAATGATAATGAATTTCAACATGCTTAGAATTTTTTTTTAAAATTGCCATAATTAGCTATACTAATTGTACCAGTGTTATCTTCATAAACATCAATTGGCTTTATTATTTCAATATCAAATATTTTCAACAATTCTTTTACAAATATCAATTCACTTACTGCTTCTGACAATGCTACATACTCTGCAAAAGTTGAAGCTTTTGTAACGCTTTTTTGTTTTCTAGATTTCCAATAAATTACATTACCAAACAATCTTATTACAAAACCAGTTGTAGACTTTCTATCTAAATGATCACCTGCCCAATCGGCATCCACATAACAATCAATAATACTTACTTTTTCATTTCTGTTATAAAACAATTTTAAATCTTTAGTTAAGCATAAATATTTCAAAATTCGTACAGCATATTTAAAGTGCGTTTCATTATAGCAATTTTGAAATCTACTCAGATAATTTACGCTGAAACTTATATCAGGCCTTGTTGCCGAACTTATGTATAATAGTGCACCAATTAAATTTTTATATTTAATATTTCTTTCACAATGATCAGATTTATCAATTTTTAAATTTACTTCCATAGGTGTATTATACAGTTTACCTTTTTCTAAATTATATTTTTTCCTTAATAATTCAATATATTTATTTTGATCCAATCTCATTTCATGTTTACTAGAATCATAATCAACAGTAATACCAAGATATTCTTTAATTTCACCAATATCTTTCATTTTAAATTTTTCTGATAATAAAATTTTAATCCTTTTAATTTCATTTAAATTTCTACCACAAATCAATAAATCATCGACATAAATTAATAAGTAAATAATATCATTTCCAATTTTATAAACGTACAAACAAGGATCAATATTACTTCTTTCAAAACCTAAATTTATCAAAAATGTATCTAGGCACTCATACCATGCCCTTGGACTTTCTTTTAAACCATATAAAGCTTTAACTAATTTACAAACTTTACTTGTTCCATCTTCATAACCCTTAGGTTGTTTAATATAAACTTCAGAAATTACTTTACCATTTAAAAAGGCTGTTTCAACATCCATTTGTTCAATTACTAGGCCCATTTGACAACAATATGACAATAAAATCTTTAATGTTTGCATTTTAGCCACAGGTGAATAAATATCATCAATTTCATCAGTTTGTTGAAAACCTCGTACAACCAATCTAGCTTTATAAGTATTATCAGACTTTTTAGTATAAACCCATTTAACATCCAGAATATTTTTGTTTGTATCATTTTTAACCAATTTCCAAGTTTTACTTTTATTTAAACTATCAATTTCTTTGTCCATAGCTGTTTTCCAATACTTACTTTCATTAGAATTTATCGCCTCCTCAAATGTATGTGGTATATCAGTTCTACACATATTTACAAAAATACTACTATTATATACATAGTAGTCATCAAATTTCTTTGGAGGATTTTTGGCTCTGTGAGATCTAGGTAACTCAGGTTCATTTTTATTCACACTATCATCCATACTTTCATTTGTACTTTCAAAAGTTTCATCTATTGAGTCATTTTCAGAGCTTTCATCAATTTTATCAGGGTAACACTCTTCATTATTATCATTATCTGATTCGTTAAAGTCTAAACCTATACACTTAACGTTTTCTTCAACAATATCCACGTGTCTAGCAACAATGACTCTGCCATTTAATAATACACGATAACCAACATTACTTATAACCAAATAAAATTCCCATATCACCTTTCTTATCCCATTTAGAGATCTCTTCTGTTCTGGTCTTCGTACAAAAACTTTACTTCCATACAAACGCAAATTAGAAACATCAGTTTCTGTCCAAAAAATATTTCATTATGGAGTTTTTTCTTCAATTGTATCAGATAAGTACGATTTTTCAAATAAACCGCAGCACAAACTATTTCAGGCCAATATTTTTATGAATATCTGCTTCAGCCAACAAACATCTTGACATATCCATT